GCCTGTGTGATTCAGACATAGCCTCGTATTATGGCGGGGGAGGGGGGGGGGACGGTGCAAACACGTGGCACTCGCTACAAGGTCAGGAGAGCAGTGAGTATTAGTGGCCCTGTTGTGCCCTGCTCGAGCCAGCACGTTGTGGCACGTCACAGCTCGTGCTAGAGTGCCCCGTTACGTCCCCATGTACTGGGAGGGGGGAGGGGGTGATTGCGGTAAACTGGAATTTACCGGTTTGGTCTCGATGAGCAAGTCTCTGTTGAATTTTTAGGCTCGTAGCCTATCTGATTTTTTTTCGTGATTTCCTTCTAGCCCTGCTCTTTCTCAATACAAGGTAAAAAATAGTTAAGATTGAATTTCATCCTGCCGGTTTAGAATGATACGCCAACAGTTTATACATCAAAGGCCAGGAAATAGTTTTTTTGGGAGGGGGGGGGGGTATAAATATTAGTGTTGTCCACGTGTGTCATCAATAACCGGATTATGTTATTTTTGGTGTATTATGTGTATTCATTTTATTGATATGAGTAAACGAAGGCAGCTTACAAATAATGGGAACATGACTGGGTAAACTTCTAAAGTAAAGGTAACTTTCCTTTCTTCTGAATTCTTTGTCAAATGTGACCACGTTAAAATTGCTAATGGAGGTTTTCTGTACGACTGCGTTCCAACTATTAACCACTCTAGTAGTATTTATTTACATTTCTTCGACTCATTTGCTTTTCAAGCTTCCACGTATATCCTCTTGTTACACTCCTAATTTAAAGAAGCTGTTCCCTTCAATAGCGTATATGTTGTATTATATCCCTGTTGACTCTTCTCTCTAGGATTGTGCACCTTGCGAGAGCGAAAGTGCAAATTACTGCAAGCTATGCAACCCGTCTTCTCCAGCGCTCCCAACGTTTATATATAATACATAAATATATATTTTATATATATAATATGGAAGGTGTGTGGAGGCGAGTAAGGTACAAAGCCAAGTATTACTATATTTGGGGAAACCAAATAGCAGCCTAGATCAACCGGGCCGTAGTGGATATGTGGGCCTGCGGGCCGCTCCGAGCAACAGCCTGTTGAACAGGTCAAGCCTGGCCTTGGGCCGGGCTTGGGGATTAGAACTTCCAGAACCCCACCAAGCAGGTTAACATATTACAGAAAGTATACAAGGGGAACACGAGTTGATGTCACGAGTACTGATGCAGATTCTGCATGGACATGTGTGATCAGGATAGAAAAGCAGAACAGAGAGAAAAGGGGGAAGGGGGGGGGGGAGAGTAAGTACGTCACTACGGGTCCATGATGGCTGCATGTGAATGACAAAGAGCCTGTATAAAATATTCTTGGCATAGCATTCCATTGGTGTGGATAAAATAGGATGGCAGCGGTGCGAGTGGCCTTAAATAAAATTCTTAGTCATTTGTATGATTAATCGATGGTCTTGAGAAGTATATATTTTTTAGGCGTGTTATCGAAGTGACATCATCTGTCGTGACTTCTAATGCTGCATTTGTCTTGACGTCTTCTATCGTCACTTCATCATAAATATTGAGAGGCTTAGTTGCATCAAGATCAAGATTTAACCCAATACTGCCGTAAAGAATCCTCTTGTGAAACAGGAAAATTATGAGTTTTAAACAAAACTTTAGTTGTGTTGCGGCTGTTTCTGTGTATGAACAAATTAAGCTTTGGTAATATGTTGCGAGATGTATGTTTAAATGAAAGTTGATGTTTTTGTAAAATGTCTTGAGATTTTATAATTTGTTAAATTATGGGATGGGATAAAATCGGATAAATTTCGTGGTATAGGGCATGTGTTCCTATCAGAGGATGATACACGAGCGGAGTCTCCTGTCGGTACCATAACAAATATTAGGGCAGGCAACGCCAAGTCTGGTGGGTATTCGCTGTATTTATGGCCGCTGGTGTGGCCTTGGGATGGATGCAACGGCTTTCTGCTTCTCCTCCAGGCGCCAAACTGGCTACACGTGCTTCCCGACAATAATTTATTCATTTTTATTTTGAATTTCTGGACTATGGTCCTAAGACGCTTGTTGTTAGGAGATTCCTATCTGATTGGCCACAATGTCAATGCTTGCTGAGAATGCAAGGTTAACGACTCACGCCCACCCCACCTGCTGCCACTTGGCTCCTCACAGGTTCCTCACCTCCCGGAGTGTCACTATGTTTCTACATTATATATATTCAAGTCTCACTATGGCACTAGGCTCATACAGTTCCCTATCTCAAAACTCTGGCATTAGGCTCACACAATTTCCCTCTCCCAATCTGGCACTAGGCTCTGATCCACTCTCCCAACACCCCAGTACCGAGTACTGTACCTGGTTGGTTTGGCTTTGTGTTTGGTTTACCTGTGTTTGGCTTTGGGTGGTTGTGATGACTGGTATTTGGTTGTACTGGCTGGTATTGGGTACTTGTCTGGCTCTGGGTGGCTGTGTTGATAAGTGTCTCTTCAAAGATTGTGGTGCCTAGTGTTTGTTATTGGATGGCTGCGCTGTCTGGTGATGGGTGTTGTTGAAGATTAAGCCACCACATGAGGTGGCATGAATAACCCGCAGGGGGTAGATTTTTTTTAGTAAATGTGGAGTAAGTGTGATCTCTGGTCGTGTAACATCTTGAAGTGTATCTGGGTCTCCGGTGATGGGTGGTTGTGGTGACTAATTTGTTATAGTTGTACTGTCTGGTGTAGGCTCATTTTATGGCCAACATAAAATGTTATCCAGGTGGAGAATAAATTATAGTGATTCGATTGTCTGTATGGTCGTCACAGAATGGAAGTCTTGACACGGTAGTGACCGTGCTGTGAAAAGAAAATATAAAACAAAAATGCGTGAAATAAATGAAAAAGAGATTGTATATGGTGTCATATAAAGGTATGTAGTGGGATGCACCCATGTTGCTAAGGTCGTTCATGGGGAGATGCTGCTCAGACGCTGATTTGGTGGCGGTAAACCACATTGTAGATGTGTTCTGATATTTTTTTATTAGTGAACGTTTCTTGGGGTGGGGGGGGGGGATTCTGGGAAACATTTCCTTAGCGCTACTCTTTGGGAAAAGTTTCACCTGAGTAACTTTTGTGTGTGGTGTTTACCTTTGTGGTTCTTGGTAGCCAGTTTCTGTAAGAGCCTACCGGTATGTAACACCGTTGCCAAGATGCCCACTGGCATGTAACCGCATATAAGCGTGCACCGGTTCTTAATTATTAAGAATCACTTCTGCTCATTATTTTCAATAATGTGAACGAAAAGCAACTAAGTATCGCTTGTCATGGGTAATAACGAAGGAAAGGGATGGTTCTTATAATATCTTGATACTTTTGTGGTAGTAACGGTTGATAGTATTTGTTTTTGTGTGAGTGGCAGTGGTGGGGGTGGTAGGAACGGCGTGTGTGTGGCTACCGAATTGTTATAATGTGGATTGGATGGTATGTTGGTTATATGTAGCTAGTGTGGTGGTGGTTATATGTGGCTTGTGGTGGCTGATTCTGGCTCGGGATGGTGGTAAAGATGGTAATAGTGTGGATAGTGTTTTGATGAGAGTGCCTTGGAGACACTGTCGTGGTGATGGTGTTCGGGTAGTATGTTGTGGGGGGGGGGGGGATGCACTCACCTAATTGTGCGTGCGGGGGTTGAGCTCTGGCTCTTTGGTCCCGCCTCTCAACTGTCAATCAACAGGTGTACAGGTTCCTGAGCCTACTGAGATCTATCATATCTACACTTGAAGCTGTGTATGGAGTCAGCCTCCACCACATCACTGCCTAATGCATTCCATTTGTCTTCTACTCTGACACTGAAAAAATTCTTTCCAACGTCTCTGTGGCTCATTTGGGCACTCAATTTCCACCTGTGTCCCCTAGTGCGTGTGCCCCTTGTGGTAAATAGCCTGTTTTTATCTACCCTATCAATTCCTCCGAGAATCTTGTATGTGGTGATCATGTCCCCTCTAACTCTTATGTTTCCCAGTGACGCGAGGCTTAATTCCCGTAGTCTCTCATCGTAGCTCATACCCCTCAGCTCGGGTACTAATCTAGTGGCAAACCTTTGAACCTTTTCCAGTTTAGTCTTTTGCTTGACTAGATATGGACTAGATATGTCCATATCTGTGATATGGACATTTTATGATATGGACTAGATATGAAGGTTCTGCTGAAAGTGGCGTTTTAATATATGTCTAATATTTTGGCGTTTGTGCGTGTGTACTCACCCAGTTGTGCTTGCGGGGGTTGAGCTCTGGCTCTTTGGGCCCGCCTCTCAACTGTTAATCAATCAACTGATCCCCCCCAGGAAGCAGCCCGTAGCAACTGTCTAACTCCTAGGTACTTATTTACTGCTAGGTGAACAGGGGTATAAGGGTGAAAGAATAGCTGTCCATTTATTTCTGCCGTCGCCGGAGATCGATGCTCAGACCCTAGGACTACGACTCCCGAGCGCAATCCACTCAGCCGTCAGGTCGTGTGTGTGTTCGCTCGCATAATTGTTTCAATTTGTGTGCAGGTTTCTGTTTATATTTGGCTTTATCACATCTGTATTTGAAACAAGTTCGCCACCACAGTTTCACTTCTTGGTGCATTCCATTTGTTCGCTTCTTCCAGACTGAACAAATTATTTCCAGTGTATCTGTGGCTTCTTTGCGTACTCAATTTCCACCTTTGTTCCCTTGTTTGTGTACCACCCATCCCAAGCAATGTACCTTTGTCTATGTGTGTATATGTATTTATACATCCCAGAATGTAATTATGTTTGTGCCTGTATGTATTTATGCATGTGCTTGTATGTATTTCTAAATATGCCTATGTATTTATTCATATGCCTGTATGTATTTATATATGTGTGTGTGTGTGTGTGTGTGTGTGTATTTAGGTATGCAGGTAGGCCTGGGAGACGTAAGTGGATGTAGCAGGAGAGGTGATGCAAGGTTTGGGGAGCCTGCCAGTTCTTTGTGTACCCCGCCCCCTTCCCTGCCTCCCTCCCCCCCCAACACTCTCATCACTTCACCTCCGCCCTCACTACCAGTGACACTCCTTCCATCCATACTGCTTGACTTGAGTGTACATTGCCGCACACCCGCATTAAATTGGTAAAAAGTCAATAAAGTTATAGCCAGGACGATATTTGTTTCGCTCAGTGCGAATTATTGACTTATTAGTGTGGTTAGTTTATAACTTAAGTTGGCAGTACTTGAATTGTCTTTACGAACGCAGTACTTCGTGTGTCTGAACTGGCCAAGTACTGACAGACTGCAAGAAATGAGCAGTGGTTGCTGCCAGCCGTTTTACTGTATACAAGCCCATAAGAACAGCCGATCACAAAATTACAATATTTTGCACACAGTGTTAGTGGTGATAGTCGCCCTTATCTGCGATAAAGAGTGTGGCCTCTGCAAGTCTAAATCATCCACCAACAGTGAAGTTTTTATATAGCATACCATTATAGAGTAGCTGCTGTATCAGCGATGAGTTAATCTTTGTCGTGGGCTTAAAGCTAGATTCTAGATAAAACTAGAGTTTGACGTAGGTTTTCGTCGTGTATCATACATGTTGCAAGCGTTACTAAAGTGATGAGATGCGAAATCTGGCACCTATTGCTTCACCACGGTGTGTTGTTAGTGCCATCACTAAAGCAATATGGCAGGCATAAGGTTTGCTACCAAGAAATCTCGTCTCAGTATATGGTAGCATTCCACGGTTCTGTGAGTGTGGCCTTGAATGTAGCAGTCTTGGTTATTTATACGTAATATTGAACGTATCTTGGACTGACTAATGGAGAAAGGGAGTTTAAGCGAGCGTTCTGGGTTAGGGGTGTTGTTACGGTCAAGTAAAAACAGAGTCCAGCTTGCCAGCCAGTTGATCCTGGTAGTGCAGAAGCAAGGGCTATTGCTATTCTTAGATGTATATGCTCATATTGGCAGTAGCTATTGTTTACATAAACTCTGAACACCATATACGTATATTTAAAGCACATCATGTTTGTTGTTTAAAAATATTAGTTTTCGTATGAGAAATTATATTAATATACTCGTACAAGTTTTATCGTATTCTTTTGTTAAGCAAAATTTAAATGTAATTTTTGGTCAACATACGTATAGGCCTATTAGAACGTCGTCTGTTGCTAGTGTCAGTAAAGGCTTTTTTTGGTTCCTGGCGTTGTCATCTGGTAACTTCACAATGTGCCAGCTCTGTATTGGTTACTCTGATGTCACTTATTTAGATTGCTATTGTTTATATTGTTTAGATTCAAATAGTTGTTATTATTTAGATTGGTGTATATTCATGGTTATTTAGACGTATATCTTAACTTCAACATCGATTTTTAAAAGTACACAAGTATGTACTTTTACTCATGTACACTACTCATGTGTAGTGTACACGAGTATGTTGGGTGCAGGTAATCTCATGGTCATGTTTCTCTATCGCGTGTTTGATCGTTACTCTGGGCTCTCATTCTCTAACATTTTCAGGCATCAATTGTAAAACTGACTATACTTGCTACCATATCAAGATCGTAAAGTTAAATTGACTATTACTTTTAGAAAATTTGAAGTGTTTGTGAAATTTAGCGTGTAGTGAAGAAGCAACTGGTCTTGCGAAACAGAGACTGTAGAGATCTCGTGAATCTGTGAAAAATGAGTGTGAATTGATGATGGTATAACATTTATGCATTGTGATATATTGTAATATAGAACAAATAAAATTGTTCCAATCAAAATAGCCTAACCTGAAAATCAAATGTTTGTGCTTGGTGAACTTTAACTGTCCGAAAAATTGTGCCGACACTAGAAAAGAACATTTCCGATTGAACTTAGTGACTGTACGTAAGTGTTTAAGGAAGAGAATATACTTACTTGATAACCACTAGTAATAGTGTTGGGTCACCATGTTACTTTACGCTCGCAAGAAGTACCTGCGGGATGAGCGCGTGTTGCAGCTGGTGCTACTGCTTAGCCTGCTCCGTGGTGACCCTGACACCCTGCTGGGTCCCGGGGGCAACTCCCCCCTAGCTGACCTTCCCCATGACCTTATTCTGGGATCGTCGCTGGGCCACGCACGCCCTTCCTCGCCCATGATAATCGGCGCCGATCTTCATCCTAAGAGCCTGGATCGCATTCTGGCGGATTATCAGCGTTCCGTACTAGACGACCTCCACGCCCTGGGTCGCTACACGTCGCAGCAGCAGGCGCACGCACTCGACGTACAGGCTTACCTCCTCAACTCTCACACTTCACTCCCGTCCCCGCCCACCGCTGACACCCCCGACCACCATCACCAGCCGCCGACCTCGCCGCCTACCCAGCCCAATCACCTCTTGCCCGACCCTCCACCACCAGACTACAACCTCTCTGATGACCTCACGCCTGAGGTTAGTTACTGTTTACATCCTCCTTGGGGCCTGCCTCTCACCTTAGTGTGTAACTAGGCAGTACTGGCATAAACTACCAAGCAGCCCTTGTCACCAAGTCCAGTCTAGGGCTTTATCACAGACTATAGTGACCGCTGTTACAGTCTTGTGTAGCATCTGGCTAGCTAGGTTTGGTTTGACACTGCCTAACCTAGTGAAACATTTTTCCAGCCTAAAAATATACACTTTCCAGCATAGTATGACACTCCTCCAGCCTAATATAACACTTGCCCAGCTTATTGTTACTCTATTATTCTAACCTAGTGTGACAATTCCAGTCTTGTGTGAACAATAATACCTAGTACAAGAGTATAACACACTAGTGTATCACACCCCACCTTAGTGTGACACTCAAGATAATACGACACCGTATCAATTATATGTAATTGTCACTGATCATGTGCGACACTTAACACTTACACTACTTAGCCTGAGACTTCCTACAGTAATGTGACACCCTAACTTACAAACACAGTGTCTTTAATAGAATAGGACTAAAAAAGTAAGTTGGATGAACTCCATGGTCTGCTCTGTCTTTGGGAACCGAGGCTTAGAGAGGTGTGGGATTTTGTTATGAAGGGCAATATGCAAGATAATTGTTAATTTACGAATGTTTGAATAAGTAGCCGTGTTCATTGCAGACGTGACCTTCATGTCACCCATGGTCAGTATATAATGCAGTGTCAAACAATATTACAAGTGTTTAAAAACAATTATGCACAACTACTTGTATTTTATTGATAATTTCTCAGTCTTTTGAAGCGAATTGCGTGGCCATATTAAAATGTAATAGTTAGCGTCATGTCATTCGTTTTCTGTAGTTAGTGAAACTACGTTTTCTTCTTGGCGTGTTGCTCGTTTTTTATACATACCCCTCATAATATGAGTGGAAATTATGCTCCATCCGGGCCCATGATCAGGTGTTTTTTTTTAAGATTAAAAAACATGACGCAATAATCTTTTTTCATTGTATTGCAAATTTTATTTTAATGGATAATCATTTTTTGGACTTTAACATTAAAGTTACTAAAACTGTAATTTGCGTCAGTCTATGCTGCATACTTTTAAGACAGTTTTGATTTCCTTTGGGTACCTTGATATCTGGAGAAAATCTTGTGCATCCTGTTTATCATCTTATCTCCCTGTTTTATCCCAGAGATAAATAACGTTTATATCTGCTTTTATGCTCCTCTAGACTAATGCACTTGCGCGCTCCCCCCCTCCCTCCCCCCACTTTCTCTCCCCCCCCTTTTCTCTCCCCCCCCTTTCTCTCTCCCCCCTTTCTCTCTCCCCCCCTTTCTCTCTCTCCCCCCTTTCTCTCTCCCCCCCTTTCTCTCTCTCCCCCCTTTCTCTCCCCCCCCCTTTCTCTCCCCCCTTTCTCTCTACCCCCCTTTTCTCTCTCTCTCTCTCTCATTCATTTATATATATATAATATTTATATATATATGTATATAATGACACTGCAGACCACGGAGGAAAAATTGAAACAGGAATTTCCTTAAGTACTTTCATATTTAATAATACATCTTCAGAAGGAACGTATTCCTTCTGAAGATGTATTATCAAATACGAAAGTACTTAAGGAAATTCCTGTTTCAATTCTTCCTCCGTGGTCTGACACTGTCACATTTTTCATCACATGTTAATTTTCGTGATTTACACACACACACATTTTTTTTTAAACATGGAAGAATATTAAAGGGACTGATTCCAAATCTACACTCTGAAATAATTCCTTACACAACCAGAAGCCACAGATGAATGTGTAGAATAGCCCTGCTGATGAGAAGTCGGGGTGCAAAAAGCATTCTTTATGAGAAAATTCTATAAACATTTGGTACCGAAAGGCTTTTCAACACCTTCATTCTAAATATAAATTTAGAATGAAGGTATTTAATTTACTGTATAAAGGGCAAAATTAGCCAACTTCTTTTGTCATTGAAGAGGGAACTTGTTACACATTTCCAAAAGGGTTGACCAGCCTGTCAACCAAGAGGCCTGGTCATATTATTTGGATCTTCTGAAGTTACTCAAGTTAACCAGTAGGTCTTGCCTATATTTTCTATGTTTATCACTGCATCACATTCTGATTATTATGCACATCAGCATATAGTTTTGCATGCCCACTCAAATTTTTATTTATATTACTGTATATAGTACTGTACCTAATGCTTTGTATGCATTTGTAAAATTAATTAATGATGTTGACAAAAATTTTTGTTATTGTACTGTACTTTAATTTAGTCAGCTAATTACAAAACTTTATTTTGTTGTTTGGTCTTGTTTGTGACATTTTTGTAATTTTTGTTATTTCTAATATGAATTATATTGGTTAAAAACCCCACCCACACTTGTGTATATGTGATATGTATGTCAAAAATATACACCCAAGTCTTCCTGAGTGCTTTATCAAGGTCCGAGTGTGTGATTCGGACGAGACTTATATCTCAACATCAAATTTGATTAGACGTTGAGATGAAAGTTTCGTTTTAATCACACACTCAGGCCTTTATAAAGCACACAGGAGAGTGAGAAAGATTTGGTGTAAATTCCTTACATAAATTTCAAATATACACAAGAGTGGTTTTATCCTATGTTTTTATGTCTGTGAGAAGACATTACCATTACTAAAATGAATTATATTATTAAAACAATTTTTGTATCGTTATAATTTGAGCTTTGGTCGATCTGAAATAATTGAGGAAATGGAGTGATATTTATATTTCCATTTCTGCATACTTTATTCATGTTATTGGTATGTGCTTGCCTTTCAAACTCTGATCTCTAGGGAAGTCTAGATTCAGGCATGTCCTGAGAGTCAGCTCTGTTACTTTTATTGCTGAAGGGATGCAGTGACCAAAATTAACAATACAAATTACTTGGAATAGGTAAATAAATTTATGGTGAAATGTTCACTGCAGATAATAAATAGCCTAATGTAATTCTTATAGAACAGAAAACTGCACCTTTTATGTCCCCCCAAATTAGGCAAAGTTTATCTGCATTGTTAGGGACATTGCAGCAGATGCCATCACAGGGCGCCTGCCTGGTGGCTGAGTGGACAGCACTCAGGACTTGTAATCCTGGAGACTGGGGTTCGATCCCCAGCGATAGTGGAAAACAAATGGGCAAAGTTTCTTTCACCCTGATGCCTCTGTTACCTAGCAGTAAATAGGTACCTGGGAGTTAGACAGCTGTTACAGGCTGCTTCCTGGGTGTGTGTGTGTGTAAGAAAAAAAAATTTGATCATTGATTGACAGTTGAGAGGCAACTAAGTGAATACAGTACATCATCTGTAATTCATTCTCTGGTTTAATTTTTCTCTACCCTTCCACACTTGGCCAATTCTACCTGTATTTTCATAATAATTTGGAAGTATGTACTGTATATGGCTGTAACTATCTAGGGTAAAATATACTGTTGCCCCGTATCTTTTTGGGAGGAATAAATTTGATTTTTCATTAAAGTGTTCCCTGAGCTAATAGATTATTTTAAACTTTTACATTTATTCTAAGAGAAGTACAGTACTGTACAAGTATTTAATATTTTTTTTAGGATTTGGCTCTCATTGAGCTAATAGATTATTTTAAACTTTTACATTTATTCTAAGAGAAGTACAGTACTGTACAAGTATTTAATATTTTTTTTAGGATTTGGCTCTCATTGAGGCATTGTGGAAGCAAGATGTCGATTTGGGAGTGCCGAGAGAGTTGTTTGAAGAAGATGTGGAAACATTCACCGATGCTCAGACTAAGGATAAGGACCATGGCAAGAAGGTAAGAAAAGTTGTTCTCTTGTTGGAAAGTTAAAGTTATATTTCTGAATTGGATAATTAAGGTGGCATATTTACATGTACTGAAATGGTATTAACTATTTAGCTAATAACTTGAAATGATATTAATAGTTATTTAAATATTTAGCATTCTTAACCCATTCATCTGGTAAGAAATACATTCAGTTATGTCATATTCAGGCATCATTTTTAATATTTTTGGTACATTATACAGTGCTTTTATGGATGATAATAAATGTTAAGGACTGGGCTTTTTATGCCTTAATTTCAGGCTGAAGAGAATCAAATTGTGATGTTTCATAACCATCTACACTAACAAGCAGTACTTACATTTAGTGCCAAAATGTATTTAGCAAATTTTTGGCAAAGTTAGATAGACAAACAAAACCTTTTCCCAATAGGTACTACATTACATTCACTAATAGACCTGATTAGTTTCAGAGGTTGCTAGTCTAAGAACAAGGCCAATTATAGGGGGAATTTGTATTTTACAAACATATTTTCTTGCTTAAATGTACAATTTAAAATATTATATACTGTATATATAATTGTATGCATATTTGTAGCCGAAGGGTGATACGAAGATTGATGAGAAGTCGGAGGATAATGTATGGATGCAGCTTAACTTCACTATTGACTCTGAAACAGGTAAGTAAAATATTATTATATATACTGTATATATAAAGAAGTGCTGTATAGTATTTCTAAAACAGGTGAGCGAGATAACTGTGTTTTGTGAACGTGTCATATGACTGCTTCTCCTATTAAATACTTTACTGTATGGTACTGTATATAAATTTTCTTTGTTTAGATGGTGTGTTAACACTTTTGTTTGATTTCTGAGTAGTGCATAGTTAAAGAAAACATGGAATACATGCAAGTAGAGTAGATTATAAGAAAAACTCCTTGCTCTCCATTTATGTTTTTTGGAATAATTAAGATTCATACATTCCTTTAATGCTAATAATAGACAGCTATATTTGTTATGTTTAAAGGTTTCATTGCTTCTGCGCTAGTAAGCTACTGTACCTATAAACATTAATTGTCTTCTGTATGTAAGAAAAATTTAATGCAGAGGGAATTTAAAATGATAAAATTTAAGGTGGTATGCTATAAATGGGTTTGTAAAAGCAAAATAGGAGTAGATGTAGCCAGAGGTCGGCTACATCTACTCCTGAAGAGAGGAAGAGAGTGTGCTCGAGTGAATTTGAGGTTAGGAGTAGAAGAGGAAGGCCCTTTGAAATGTAAGCAAACATCTTGAGTAAGTGTGTGAAGAAGTGGGAAGAGAGTGTGGACAACACACAAGATATGGTAAATGAACAAGGCTGGGTGGAAACAGTTTATGAGAAGAAAGTTAATACATTTGTATGCAATGAACATGTATAACAAGGAGATACTATATAACCGGTCTTATGAAATTATGGCCTGTTGCTGTGGATGACTGCTAGAAAGTGATAAGTGCTGATTTATCTTATTTATCTGATGTTGTACCATAGTTTTATGAATAATATAATGCTTGGACAAGGGATATTTTAAAAATTGTATTATATAATATTTCTAAATCTTTTCATACAATGCTACAATACATTATTCTATTGTGTTCATCTCAAGGCTGATGCCTTCACACCTCATAAAAAGTGGGAATGTGGCACTGATAATGTATGTACCTTATGTAATGGATAGTTTTGAGTTATAAATAATGGATATAATGTAAGTGAAATTAACAATCACTGATGATGCCAGCTGGTCTCATCCACTATTTTTTCTCTTTGCAATCTGATGACAATATTTAACATGCTTCAATCTCAAATTTTGTAAACATTATTTCTTTAGCAATTCATTTTGCATCATTCTACCTCAATTATTAAAATATGGTGTCTAATGAGGAGGCAGAGCTTTTGAGGCCTCTACTGCTCTACCATACAGCCCACTGCTGCACAGAAACAGTTAATGGTCCATAAACTAAATACTTCTCTCATTTTAATTTTCAATAATTACTGAGTAAACATTATTCAACTAATTGTTTTCTTTCTACAGTGGTATATATACGTATAGATAATAGATATACATAGATATAAATAGATATAGATAGATAAATATGTATAGATAATATAGATAAATATATACACGTATAGATAAATAGTTTTCATACATGAACATATAAAGAAATGGTGTCTAAGAAACATAAATAACTGTGAAATGTAGAATTAGAATTGTATATAAACTTTTGTAAACTTAATAGTGTCTTGTGCACTGGATATTAGCTATTCTTTTTTATTATACTTGATACTATCCATTTCCGAACATTTTGATTCCCAAATCATTATTCTAAGCCTATGAATAACTTTGTAAGCAAAGGATGTAATAATTTTGTGTATTATGTTAGATGCTGTATCAGCTAAGGGTGTCTTTACTTATACTGTGAGGATACAGTAAGGTATTAGGGCTCTAGATAGATGTAGTGGATGATTACTGAAACATAACTTTACAAATATCATACAAGGAAAAATTATAATCTGTGTCACTATTATTAGTAAATGGAGGCAGTAATTTAGAGCTAATTTGGTTGTAGTCCAGCCACGTTTCTCTCGCCAAACTAGTAGTACTGTACTGTACAATACGGTGCTCTATTCTGGCTTTACTACCAAACCCATTCCAAGCTAATGTAATTTGTCATTCTATTGGTATATACATTGACTCATGAGAGATAAATATGCATAATAATCAAATACCAAGTTAAAATGTGAGAAAATGGTTAAATATTGTGCTCGATGGTATGGTGGCTTATCCATTTAGCTTAAAGAAAGAGAACAATACCCACATGTACAAGAGCTTTGTAACATTATAAAAATTGAGAAAATCCATAGGAGCCGTGATGAGGATTGGAACCTATGCGGTGGGTGTTCCCACGCACACGCTCATGTGACTAGACCATGACATGGTACGTCCTGGTCTAGACATCACGGCTGCTTCGGATTTTCTCATTGGTGCAGTCACGTTAGTGTGACTACTCTGTGTATTATAAGAATTATTATTATTTTTATTATTAGATAAATATGTTGGCAATAATAAGCAGTAATATATACTATTATTATATAACTGTACCTAAATCTTGATTTAATTTTTATTATGTCAAGACATACATCACCTATGGTGGCACTTGCTGCCTCTAGAAAATTGTGATTGTGTCTGATATAGAAGAAAATGTCCCTATTTTTTAAATATTTAATACAATTACAATTTACAGTTTTGTCCCAGTAATGGAGCTAATTTATTGGACAAAACACAGCATCTTTTACATATAGGGTATTGTAAAACAGTGCACCTAGTGCCCAAAAGGTACACATGAAAAAGATACTGAATCTGCCTGTGGCATTAGGTTCACATGCAGAGTCAACTTTTACATAGACTTTATTGGCAATTGGTATGGTTCATATATATTACCATTTTGGGTCATGCTTGAAGGGCTTTGTGTTTGTGATGACAGCTGACAGTCTTACAAGGAAATTTAAATAACCTGGAGAAGTATAATGTAGAGGCCATTGCAAAATTAACTATTTAAAGCAATGATGGTCCAGAGCTGTGATGTAATTGTCATACAACTTATTGCATTAAGGAGGAGTGTATTGTTTATAGCTAGAGATCTGTAGATAGAAGTTTCTTTGCCCTCACAATTTGCCTGTGTGAGAAGAATCATTGTTGTCATTGAATTCTCATGAATGTTTACACTGAAGCCTCAGTCAGGCATGAATGATATGCTTTGCTCTTGTAAAACCATATTAATTATTATAATTGTTGTTATTGGGGCTAGTTTCATTATTCATTATCATAATGGTTTGTCACCCTGTTCTTCAGAAGCATCCTCTTGTAATGAAGGTATCCTTTGTCTTAAGTTGTTTCAATGATATAATGAGTTATATCCACAACAGGTTTTTAATGTGTTTGATTTAAGGAGTCCACAGAGACACAGGAAGCAAAAGATTATTACGATCACCCTCACTGAGAAAATATCCAGAAAGTAAGTGAAACACTGAAGACAACTGCAAGGTTCATAGAGAGAGAAGATCTGAAGCAGCAAACGACTGCACAACTGATGCACTCAATAGCTAGAGTGAGCACCCCCAGTTATGACTGGCCAGCAACAGGTGAAAACACCACTGAAAGCTCCCAGCTTCCTCATCATTTTTACCTCAGACCACAGCTGAAAAACTACGATTCTACACACCTGGTAGAATGATGGAATCAGGAAGCCACTGAGGCTCTACCAGAAAGAGTCATTTCATTACATTTAGTACTGGTTTATTGAAGGAGCTGAATGGTAGCTCCCTGATGCTAACTAACAACAGAGAAGAAGGAAAATATGGGAGGAGGAGATTTAAAATGACACTCACAAAGACAAGATGCCAGGATTGGAAACTCAACCCAGGGCAACACAAATCTAATGGGAACCAAGAGCAGTGACCAGAGAATGAGCTGCCAGGTTCTTCTTAGAACCTCCAAAACCCCCCCAAGCATGAATGTTAACCCATGACATGTTAGAAAACTCTGCAGACAAAGCTATGTATTTGTGAACATTATGGGCCCGAGGGTATACCGCAGGCTGGCTAGATATAACGACACTGGACAACCTGGGACAAATGAGCCTTGGAACTACACAGTAAATTAACAACTTTTTGGAGTAAACGATGTGGAAGAAACTGCAGAATAGAACCAGTGAAGAGCAGGGGTGCCTTAGGCACAATCAGAGAACACTGTATAAACATCAGAGCTCCATGGTTGTTCAACATGCTCTTAGCAAGCATAAGATATATTGCCGGAACAACCGTGGACATCTTCAAGAGAAAACTAAATAGTTTTCTAAAAGAAGTGCCGGATAGTTTTCTAAAAGAAGTGCCGGACTAACCGGGCTGTGGTGGATGTGTGGGCCTGCGGGCTGCTCCAAGCAACAGTCTGTTGGACTAAGCTCTCACAAGTTAAGCCTGGCCTCGGGTCGGGCTTGGGGAGTAGAACTCCCAGAACTCCATCAAGCAGGTATCAAGCAGGAACTGAGAACCAAGGAATCTGGTTTTACAAAGAGTGCAATCTCCAAGGCAGCGCTGGTGGCATGCAGGCAGCAATGAACCTCCATAACTTGATATACCAAATGATGCCCCTGGCTGGACAAATCAGGCATCAGCACCCAGGGGACCTCCTATGGAAGCCACCCATCTCATTCTTCAGTAGAAAATGAGGAGAAGGCTGCAAACAAAGAAACTGCCTACCAGGGCCAAAGGAACAGAACCCACACCTGGAGGAGAGCGTGAAGTTTCTCAACTCGGTAAGTGGAGGAGACAGCCAATAAAAACAGAGCATAAGGAAACATATCCCAGACAGAAGGAGCACCCAGTAACCTAGGCAGGAAAGAAATGCTAACACCCTACCGAGAGATGAAGAAGGCTCAAGAGGTGCATGAGCCAGTCGGAGATGAAAGAAAGTATGAGACAACTTGCAAAATGGTGTCGAAGAAACATCGACACTAAACGCCACCAAGAGGATCTCAGCGAATGCCGAATGACAAGAGCAACAGTATTGGGCATAAGATGCCAATCAACAAACAACCAAGACAAAATGGACAGAACCACAGGAACAGACACAGAAAACACAATGAA